TAAACACTTAGGCAAAAGTAATCATAAAGCACATAATCACTTAGAAAATAAATCACATAATCACATAATTTCACTTAAAAAAATAATTCATATAATCACATAATTCACCTAAGAGAATAAATCACATAATCACATAATTCAATTAATAAATTAATCCACATAATCACATAATTTTACTTAAGAAAAATAATTCACATAATCACATAATTCACTTACGAGAATAATTCACATAATCACATAATTCAATCAAGCAATTAATCTACATAATCGCATAATTCAATCAGGCAAATGATAGGCACAAACGGATTCCAAATTAGTCGAGCGATGAGACGCTATAATTTAATAAAATAAAACGGGGCGTTACAATCTATCCTCTTTAAATGATTTCCATTTTCAAAAATCAAAAACTAAACTCTGGAATTCTGAACGGGGCGTTACAATATATATATAGTTCTTTTTGTAATAAATATAAATAAAATGTGTTACTTAAATATCTAAATAATTTATAAATTCAAATGTTAAATATAATTGATAAAGAATATATAAATCTCTATTTTATTTAAATATGTAATTTTATTTAAAATTATATTAAATGTAGCAGAATTCATTTAGAAAATCGTATGGATCCTACCGGTCCAACCGACTGGTCTTAACGGATTCGATGACGAATATTTTATTCAAACGAACTAGACTGGTTATAAACCGGTTCTCGATCCATCCGATCGAACTCTGTCCAATCCAATTTAACTTAAAAACAATGGATAAATCATAATTAATGTTATTTATTTATTTTAATTTTTAATACAATCATAACATTATTTTCCCGTACATCGCACGAGCCACGCACCAGTAATAATGAAACCGTGAAACCCCCTCACCCCTTAGCTAAATTATTGTGTTGAGGGCGCGCGAGTGGACTAATAAAGCCCAAAAGCACAGCAAAATGAGGCGCAATTATTGATCTCACGCCCATGGAAATCCTTCCCACCACCACGCCCCCCTTATAATAAATTCATTCCCCTTAAAAAATCAAAATAAAAATAAATAAATAAATAAAAAAGTAAAAGGAAACAGGAAAGGGAATATATAAGGTCTAAATCATGATAATGATAAACTAAAACATCATTTTCGCATTCCCTTTTCCCAAATACACATACAAACAGACAGTTTTTGTTCTTTTAAACCAAAAAAGAACAAAACTCTTCATCTTCTCTTCTCTTTACCGATCAAGAAAGAGAGAAGAAAAACAGACATTTTTTTTTCTCTCTTGGGGGCGCCATGAAAAACGCGATAAGGTGCTGCTTATCGTGCATCCTCCCATGTGGGGCCCTGGACGTGATCCGTATAGTCCACGCCAACGGCCGTGTCGAGGAGATCTCCGGCACCGTCAAGGCTGCCGAGATTATGAAGCTCCACCCGAAGCACGTCCTCAAGAAGCCTTTCTATCCCTCCGCCGCATCCGAGGAGGGGGGCCATATGCGCCCCAAGATCGCCGTTGTCCCACCGGACGCGGATCTCAAGCGCGGCAAGATCTACTTCCTCATGCCCCTGCCGCCGCCGACGCCGGAGAAATCCAGGCCGAGGCCGGCGGCGAAGAGGAAGGATAAGGAGTCTCCGGGAGGAGAACGGAAAGGTGGGGCGGCCAGGAATAGGAGGAATAATGTTGTTTCGAATCTGGTGATCTCCGATTGCTACCTAAGTGAAATTTTGTCGGAGAGGGTCTCCACGCGGCGGCGGGGTCGCGTCGGGTTTTGGCGGCCACATTTGGAGAGCATTTCTGAAATTCCGGTGGAAGCTTAGTTAATTTTTGATTTCCTTTTTCTTTTCGTTTTTCTTTTCTTTTTTTTTTATTGGGTTGCATATAAGGAAGGATTTAACCGAACCAATATGTTCAGTTGTAATTTGATTATTCCAACGATTATATTTCTAATGACTTTTTACCGTAGAAATGTCTATTGACATATGCAATTTTCGTTGGAATTTTTATTTCTAATCCCATTGGGAAATGTATCGATTAATCGTCAAAATCCAACAGAAATTCTAATGGTAGACTT